GCACAGGACACACCGGCCCCCGAAATAAAACAGAAGCATAACCACTGAAACAGAGACAAAAACACACAAACTTGACATAGACGAAAGGTAAAGAGAGACACCACAGGCTGAACAAGGAGACATAAAAAGCCGAAAGACAGGAAATAGTCAAAGGAAGTGGGAAGGGAAATAAAAGAGAACATATTAACATGAATAGACTAAACAGAAGGGAACTGACAAAGGAGGAAGGGAACATAGAAAGTGACAGATTTTAACCGAACACAAGGTACACAAAACAAGGCACTGGCAAAATAAGACTGCAAGTATAGAATGCAGAGAGGCAACCTTGACACACAGAAAGGTAAACAACCACAGAGATAAGACTGACTACACAAGAAGGCACAGGCAACACAGGGGAGCATGATAGAAAAAATTAAAGAACAAAACCAATCTAACCAAAGTAAGAGCCTAAAATATAAATACTAAGTGTGAATGCAAGACCCATACACAACAATATTTTATTTACTGCTTCAGTCCATGCATGTTTTCTAGGGGTAGCTTTTCAGCTGCTCAGAAGCCGTGTTGCCTCACTTGTGCTCTGTACTCTGTATCCTCCACACATGCCTCCTCAGTAACTGACATATTACTGAAATAGGGAGAAAAAATAGAAACAGCTGTGGCGTCCAGCCTCCTGTAATCACTGCCCTTGAAACCGCTGTCCAACCCCTCCCCTCAACTGAGAAACCAACCACACCCTCACTACAATAAGCATAGTGAAATTACAACAATAGTAAGAACCAAAAACCTGGAACAAAATCTTAACTTCAGAATATTAAATGAACCAGGATCAAAATTACAAACACATAACACTACTAGACCCAGGACCATGACAACTGTAGAGTCACTATCGCGATCAATTTGATAAATATTTGATTTCAAGTCAATTTTACTGTTTTATTGTACAGTTTCCAATCAAAACAACAGTTGCCTCAAGGCGATTTATATAGTAAGGTAGACCCTAAAATAATAAAATTGATGGTTACATGTTTTGTGTGAGAGTAAATATGCTGAGAGTAAAGGTGCTGCTGAGAAAGTTAGCTGCCTCCATCTTGCTAATTAGATTCAAAACCACATAACAAACCCTCAAGTTAAATCTGGTGGCAGCAGTAGGATTATTACGTTGGTTGCTCTATATTTGGTAGTGATGGGTGAAGAAAGGCTTCCTGAAACAATGAAACAGAAAAAGTGAAAAAGGGGAAGGAGGGTGGGGCACGGAAATGGGAATGAACAGAAAGAAAGACAGAAGGCATCCCGTAGAAGCAGTAATAACTAATTACAAAGGTCAAAGACTACTGCAGTAATATAACCGGTACACAGGCTAGTAATATAATTGAAACAGCCTTGAAAACATTAACTGCAAGCATGATTGTTCTTATGAATGTGGGTGTATATAAGCAGATTTCCAAAATCTTCTACTCCAGAGTGTAATTGCTCTCTGCTCAAACAGAACAGCAGTGAAAATACCACCACTGTTGCTTTTTATTTGTGTCTCAATAAGCAATGACTTGATTTGTTAAAATGCATGCTCATTAAACAGCTGCAATAAAGTATGAAAGGCACAGTGGGAAAGTGTAGAGACGGTTTACATCCCCAAAGGTGGATTTTATTCCACCAGAAATACAAACCAGGGCTGTCACCATTCCCCATCTGTGGCTTAGGAGACAGAGGATAATTCATTACAAACAAAAGCAGGGTGAGAGCAGTGCCCTGCGCACTCTGCTACATGCTAACCCACACAGACTGGCTCTTCCCAGTCTCTTCCTCATTGATGCCTGTTCTCCAACAAAGTAGACTAGCTTTGGCTGGGGATCATCTCATGCAGGATGGACAGCTGTGTGGCGATTGTTATCCATATCTGGTTAAATAACAACATCCTAGATGCTGCGGTGGAGATAGAAGGGTGTTTCTGTTCTGGGCAGATGGGACTGCAGTTTTGATTAAATGGTGGAGGTCTGGCGCTATACATAAAAAACTCCTGGTCAACAGCTATGAGCACATTATTGAGCACATTATTGGTGCATACTACTCTCCTGACCTAGAATACTTGGCAGCAAAATGCAAACCATTCAAAATGGTTAGGGAGTTCTGCTCCATCCCGATCATGGCTGAGGGTTAGTTCTGTACAGATGCTGCCCTTCCCACGAAGACTACCAAGATTTTTGCCCAAATCAGAAACCTTGGTTGGACAGTGCAGTGCAGTGCAGTCCAGGCTCAAAGCTCAAGATACTGCCTACAGCTCAAGTGATAGGCTGGCTTATACCAGGGCCTGGAAAGAACTGAAAAAAGAAATTTAGCAGGCAAAGTACATGCACAAACAGCGCATTGAGGAGAACTTCCACAATAACAACCCACAAAATATGTGAAGATACATCAGGAGCATAACAGATTGTTAATGCAGTAACTTTAAGGTTGGACAACTGTCTGACACCTTGACAACAGAGACACTGTACATTTCCTCTGGCTGGAGCAGAAGGCTTTGCCAACTTTCACAAACTATGTGGTCTGGCCCACCAGGGGGGAGTGAATTTTGTTTTAAACCCCTTATAGTCCCACACGTGGGAAATTTTGTAGTCCTCTGCATTTAACCCATTCACTCAGTGAAGAGGTGGGCAGCTACCAATCCAGCACCCGGGGAGCAGTGTGTAGAGATTAGAGATTGTAGAGATGCTACCTTCCGATCATGGGGTGACCACTCTACCTACGGAGCTATCCCCACCAAGATCTATTGTATGCTAATGTCAAGGGCACATACAGTTCCTCCTCACTGCCCCAACTGGGTAGGTCAGATCATAATCTGATTCACACCCCACTATGTGCCTATTGTGAAGAGGGAGCCTGTGACCACTAGAGATATTAGGAGGTCGGAGGAGGAGGCCTTAGTGGAGCTACAGGGCTGTTGTGAGGTGACAGACTTTGAGACGCTCTGTGAACCTCATGGTGAGGACATCAATGGGTTTACTAAGTGTATCACTAAGTACAGCTCAGACTGTCCATTGTTACCCAAATAACAAGCCTTGGGTGACATTGAAGCACTCCTGAATGACAAGAAGAGGGCCTTCAGAGTGGGCAATAAAGAGGAGGTGAGAATAGTTCAGGTGTTAATCAAGATCATAAAGGTAAGGACAATTACAGGAGAAAGCTGGAGTGGAAACTCCAGCTGAACAGGATGATAGAGGTGTGGGGTGGCATGAAGACAATCACTGAATTCACACCATCAAGCAGCAAGGGAGCTGGGGAAAGTGAGGACAGGGTTAATGAATGTTGAATGTGTTTTTCACCAGATTCAACACTGCAGTGAATGCTCACCCCTTACAGCCTTACCTGTAATCAGCCTGCAATCCACAGCCACACCACTCTCTCTCCCTCCCTTTCCACATTGCACTGTTGCTTCCTGTAAAAGTCCTGATGCCCTTCCCCCATCTGTCACTATCACTCACGACCGGGTTCAAAGACAAACAGAAAGACTCCGCTCAGGTGGGTCTGCTGGTCTGCAGGATGAGTCCCATGTCCTCAGTCCTATGCTCCCTAGCTTTGTGTCTTTCATAAACTACTCATTCATTATGGATTGTTGATTATCTGACAAGAAGACCACAATAGCGGTCATTAGTGAGGGTGGTGAGATGGAATACCGAGCTGTGATTGACTGCTAAGTGACAAAGACCAAAGAATTGATTGTGGACTTTAGGAGGACAAGGAAACCCTTGACCTCTGTTTCAATCTAGGGGGTCGATGTGGACATTGTAAACGACTATAAATACCTCGGAGTACACACAGAAAATAAAATGGACTGGGGTAAAAACACATATGGACTCTACAGGAAGGGCCAGAGGCATCAGCATCGGTCGGACAATGCTCAGGATTGTTTAAGAGTCTGTTGTGGACAGTGCCATCCTCTGTGCTATTGCATGATGGAGCAGCAGGTTAGGGGTCGCAGACACCAACCCACTCAATAAACTGATTCGCAAGGCCAGTAATGTTGTGGGGACAGAGCTGTACTCCCTTAGGGGGGTGTTGGAGAGGCGGCTGTTGTCCAATCCATGATGTTGTTCAATAAGGACAATGCTGGATAATACCTCCCACCTACTCCATGACGTGCTGGCCAGTCACAGGAGCACATTCGGTGAGAAACTGAGATTACCCAAATGCACCACTGAACGACACAGGAAGTCATTCCTGCCTGTGGCTATCTCCCTGTACATCTCCGCCATCTAATGCACAGTACGCACTGCAGTAGTTACACCCTTTTGCACATGCGCTACAGTAAAATGAAAAAGTTTCACAGGTTAGAGTTAAATGTCAATAATATATATTTCACCTCTGTAATATTCTTGATATTTAAATTGAGCTGCTTGTATATATATTAGAGCTATCTCTTATATTTTGTAAACTTTGTAATATATTGTATTATTTAATCAATTTAGTCTGTTACTGTTATTGTCTTGGAGCAACTGTAACCCACATAATTCTGTGCATTACAGTTGATTCTGATTCATGATTTTGATTCTGAACCCTGACAAGGTACACCTGTAAAAATGAAAACCCTTTCAGGTGACTACATCATGAAGCTCATTGAGAGAAGGCAAAGGGTTTGTAGCACTGTCAACAAAGCAAAGTGTGGCTACTTAATATAAGACATATTTATCCATTTTTTCCATTTTTTCCTTGCTACATAATTCCACATATCAGCACTGGTACAGATGTGTCTGCTGGGCATACTTTCTGTTTAGGACAAAGCAGAGTGTAACATAGTTATTGAAACAACAAGAAAATAAGGCAGGCTATGCAAGTTTTAAGACACCCAGCCTGTAGAAGCTCAGGTAAAGTAACTAAAAGTTTAACTTGGCTATTTTGCTCAGATGAAGCAGACAAGTCATGTTTTTGCTACCTTTCTATGTGTCTTTCTTAAGGCTGTAGATTCCAGTACACTATTGCACAACTAGAGCGTGATTAGGCCAGACAAACCACATGTACTAACTAGACTCCCTTTCTCTGACCTTTGCCCTGAATGACTCAAACTAATATTACCTCCTGCAGCTGAGCTTAACCAAACCCCTCTACAACACCATAACAACTGAAAAAAGGAGAATAATAAGTGAACTGTGTACAGTATGACTGCCAAAGGCAACTAAAACGCTGGAATGTGTGACATGGCTTTGAAATGTGTTGTTTATAGTTTCTTAGTGTCAAGAAGTTAAAAGCAGCATTAGCAGATTATGAAGAGATTTTAGTTTAAGCAACATCATTCCAAGACCAAGTGTTTCTGCTTTAGAATAAACTACTATAATCATAGAGAAAGAAGAGTGAACAACAGGGTTTCAGTGCTGGAGCTGTTCCAGCGGTCATCATAGGGTATGTGAGGCACTTGAACAGTAATACGCATAAATTCTGTTAGCTAATTAGGACCACGGTGAGTTTAATTTTATGCGCTTGCTATAGAAATGTGAAGGGGTTATACCAGTCTAAACCTGGTCTAGTTCAGGACACGTTACTCTGAAGGAACACTTCTCTTAATTTTAACTATTAGCCATGGCAATGCATCTATGTTACTTCCCAAGAAACTTTTCAATGCTGTTGCTGGTGGAATTTAGTTTAAGCCAACACACAGTTTAGAATTCCTTCATCAGCTGATGCAGAAGTAATCCAAATGAGTGTGGCTGTGGTGAATGGCTGTGGATGATTTTATCAGTGTATTCTGATCATCCTCTGTATCCATATGAAGTCCAAATTTTATGTATCCACAATGCTGTCACAAGGCCAGATACAAAAGGTTTTACAATCTCATACCAAACTTTCTGCATTTATTTTAAGCTCCTTATTGTATTATATTTAGATTTTGATTTAATGCTTCACTTTTTTGTATTTTGTTCAGTTGAGCTCCTTCTTTAGTGTTTTTTCTACTTCCCTGAGCTATTTTTATTTTGTAATTTTATTAATTTTTGAGTTGTTTTTTGATTTTGTTTTTTTGGTGCTGTAACATTGTTATTTTCCAACATTTGGGACAGATAAAGTACTTTTCATTCTCCATCATTATCATCTTTTTATTCGTGTTGTCTCAAGTGAAAATGGTAAATGCTCAAGGGGATAGAGGAAACTCTAGGACTCAGCCTCTATAGATCCTGAATGTTTACATCTGTGTACCATATTATCATATTACTTGTTCAAATCTGTTCCAAGAAATTTCATTGCAGGAGGACCACAGGACACTATCTGCCAAAATGTTTTATTGAGGAGTTCCCTCAATAAAAAAGAAGTCAATAAGAACATTTTTTGAGCTTTGTTGTTGTCCAGCTGCTGTTGCATTTTGTTTAACTTAGCTCATGCGACCTGATTAGCTACTGACAGACATGATTAAGCAAGCTGATTATGATATGCATAAGCAACTATAAAATGTCAGCTATGTTGAAACACAAATTACACTCTTGCATTTATCACAAAGGTTTCATTTTTATTTGCATTATTCTTTCGTTTGACAGCTTAAGAATAAGTTCATGAAGAAGATACCTCGTGATGCTGAAGCATCCAATGTCCTGATTGGTGAAGTTGATTTTCTGGATAAACCCTTTGTCTCCTTTGTACGCTTGGCTCAAGCTACAACTCTGGGGGGGCTTACTGAAGTTCCTGTACCAACCAGGTAGGTCCTTTCAGCTTCACTGTCAGCTGGGTGTATCTTTGAATTGATCAATTTATCAACATTTTCCCCCTCTGGCAGATTTCTCTTCATTCTTCTGGGTCCTCATGGCAAAACCAAATCCTACAACGAGATTGGCAGAGCTATTGCTACACTCATGGTGGATGATGTAAGTGACTAGCACTAACCCAACAGGATATGCATGCATCAAATATATTTTATGAGTTATCTCTTTTTCTTTTTTTCAGTTGTTTAGCGATGTTGCCTATAAGGCAAGGGACCGTGAAGACTTGATTGCAGGTGTTGATGAGTTTCTGGATGAAGTGATTGTCCTTCCTCCAGGAGAATGGGACCCCAAGATCCGTATTGAACCACCCAAAAAGGTTCCATCTGCAGAAATGAGGCATGTGCTTTTAATAACGTTTTATTTTGATCTCAGATATATTACTGTTGGGTTTTATTTTAGCTAAATGCCAAATAGGAAGGTTGCTAA